GACAGGGATGTTTTCAGGGTGCTGAGAAAGTGTGAATTACTCCATCTGTGCCAAAGGCCCCAGAAACACTGCAGCCCCACCCACCCGCGTGGGCGCAGACTTCCAAGCTGCCTCATGACCACATTAATGTCCTTGCAAACAAGGTAAGGGCCTACATTCCAACCCTGCCCAGCAGGTAAAAGGCCACACCCCTCCCTCCCAGGCAGGCTGTTCTCACCAGGCCCAGTGCAAAACAGCCACAAGAAGTCTCCCAACTCCCATCGGCTTCGGGGCAGTCCCCGGCACCCTACACAGAGGGCATCAGTGAGAGCAGAGTTTTTTTTTTTTTTTCAAGATTAATTTATTTTTATCAGAAAGGCAGATATACGGAGAGGAGGAGAGACAGAGAGGAAGATCTTTCGTCTGATAATTCACTCCCCAAGTGACCGCAACGGCCGGTGCTGAGCCAATCTGAATCCAGAAGCCAGGAACCTCCTCCAGGTCTCCCAAACACTTGCAGGGTTCCAAGGCTTTGGGCCGTCCTCTACTGCTTTCCCAGGCCACAAGCAGGGAGTTGGACGGGAAGCGGGGCCGCCAGGACCAGAACCGATGCCCATACAGGATCCAAGCACGTTCAGGGAGAGGACTTTAGCTGCTAGGCCACACTGCCGGGCCCAGAGCAGAGTTTCCTAACAGGTCACCCGAGACCTCCGGTGAGCCAAGAAGGATCACCCCTGAGATCAAGAGCCAGGGTAGGGCTGGCATCATAGACGACACACCATGTCAGCGGTGCATCAGGTCAGACGCGGCTGTTCTGATCGCAGTCCTGTTTCCTGCTAATGTGCCAGAGGGTAACAGATGACCACCCATGCCATGCTGTTCCCAGCTCCTGGCTTTGATCGGTCTACCCTGGCTACTGCGTCCAGTTAAGTTTATTTAAATGATGGAAGAGGGCTTGGTTGGATGGTCTCTCTCTCACCATCCCTTTCAAATAAATAATTTATTGGTGCTAGAACTATGCACAGCAGGCCAAGCTGCTAGCTGCAGCCCCAGCATCCCCTATCACCACCGGCTTCACTTCTGATTCAGCTCTTTGATAATGCACCTGAAAAGTAATGGCAGACGACCCAAATCCTTGGCAGGCTCACCCACACGCGAGACCCGGATGGAGTGCCAGGTTCTTTGCTTCCGTCTGGCCCAGTCTGGACTGGCGCAGCCATTTGGGGATGGAATCAACAGTGGAATGCATCTCCCTCCCCGTCTCTGCCTTTCAGATAAAACAAACCTTCACAAGGAACGCAAGCATCCACATGACTACTATCAAGGAAAAGAACTCGGATGATCACAACTCTAAACAAGACCGTCTACAAACACCAACAGCAGGAAGACAGGATGACAGAGCGACCGGGCCAACGGAACAGGGGGAATGCTGTGCCAGGTGAGGCCACTGCTGGGCAGGCCCACATCCCGTATCAGGAGGCCCCAGAGGACAGCTCAAGTGCTTGGGTCCCTGCCACCGACAGACTCAGGCTGTCTCTGGGCTCCAGCTTGGCCTGGCCCAATCCTGGCAACTATGAACACAAGAGGAGGGGCACAGCAGAGGAGAGGTGAGCACTCCAGCGTCTGGGACAGCTTCCTGCTGCTTGTCAAGCTGACGTAAGCACTCTCAAAACAACGCAAGAAGGGTCAACATTGTGGCACAGCCAGTTAAGCTGCTATGTGGGATGCCCACATCCCACCGTGCAAGGTCAGAGCTTCAAATTCAACTCTGGTGCACTTGGGAAGGAAGCAGATGACGGCTCAAGCCCTTGGGCCCAAGGGGCAGGGACGGAGTCCCCGGCTCCCATTCCAGCTCAGACTGAGAGCCATCTGTGAGTGGATCTGCACAGGCAGGAGCTTTCTCTCAGTCTCTTCTTCCCTTTCTGTGGCTCTGCTTTCCAAAGAAGGAAACATATCTTAATAAATCCTAAACATGCACATACCAAACAAGAGAGTTGTGCAGTATGTGAACCAAACTGGGAGGAATGAAGGAAGAAAAGACAAAACCACAATTACAATTGGATTCTTCAGACCTATCTTTCAACAGTGGACGGAATAGCAAGGATGCGGCTCTGGTTTGAACATGACCTGGCTTGCCAATTCAGGCTCGTAAACTCCACATCCTGCACGGACAGTGCTGAGTGCAGGAACCAAGCCTGGTCTGAAGGGAGTGTCTGGGGGCCATGCCTGGAACAGCCTGCTAGGGCTGAGCCCATGAACACCTCCGGCCAGCTGGAGGACAGACCACACCAGCCGTGTCACCCTGCTCCTCACCACGCTTTCCACAGCCCACCACCCTCAGTGTCTACATGCGGGGGCTGCCCCTCTTGGAGTGTGAACCTCAAGCTAATGAGCATATATAGCCTTTTAATCTATTAAGCAGTCCCTATCAGGTCCTACTGTGAAAAGCTGACTAACTGATGGACCAAGACAACCAGAACACAGGCTATCACCCCCTCCCTGGGCCCACGTCACAACCTGTAACTGCTACAGCGACAACACTGCAGTGAAAAGCTGCTTTCAGGCCAGGTGAATGGAGATGTCTACTAAATATTTAAAGATATATCAGTTCCAGTTCCACACAGTCTTTTTTTTTTTTTAAGATTTATTTATTTATTGGAAAGTCAGATATACAGAGAGGAGGAAAGAGAGGAAAGGTCTTCCGTCCGATGATTCACTCCCCAAGTGAGCCCAATGGCCGGTGCTATGCGCATCCGAAGCCAGGATCCAGGAACTTCTTCTGGGTATCCCACACAGGTGCAGGGTCCCAAAGCTTTGGGCCATCCTTGACTGCTTTCCCAGGCCACAAGCAGGGAGCTGGATGGGAAGTGGAGCTGCCGGGATTAGAACTGGCACCCATATGGGATCCTGGCGCGTTTAAGGCGAGGACTTTAGCCGCTAGGCCACGCCGCTGGGCCCACACACAGTCTTTCAGAAAGTACAAGAGAACATCTATCTGTTCATGAACTTGGCATTTCCCTGGCGTCAGACCGACATTCACAACATGCTTCAGACGAGCATCCTCTGTAAGTACAGAAGCGAAAGCCCTTAAACAAGAAGCACGAGTCACTTTACCAACCAGCTGCCTCTGGCATGATGGGACCAGCGCGATGGCTCCGCTCCAGTGCCAGCATCCAAATGGGCACCACTGAGTGTCTCAGCTGCTTCACGGACATCCAGCTCCCTGCTTGCAGCTTGGGAAAGCAGCAAATGGCCCAAAGCCTTGGGACTCTGTCACCTGCATGGGAGACCACAAAGCAGCTCCAGGCTGCTGGCTTCAGATCGACTCAGCTCCGGCTGTTAAGCCATTTAGGGAGTGAACCAGCTGATGCAAGTTCTCTCAATCTCCTCTCTGTCAGCCTGCCTTTCCAATAAAAGTAAGTAATAAATTAAAAAATATTTTAAAGTGGTGCTTGTGCACAATTTAAAACAAACCCAATCAGCAAAGGTAATGCGACATGGTGACTGCTGTGGACCTGGTACGCTGCAGTTGTTACTCCAGAACTTTTTTTTTAAAATTGGAAAGATTTACAGAGAGCAGGAGAGTCAGAAAATCTTCCATTTGCTACTTCACTCCCCAAGTGGCCACAACAGCCGGGGAACCAGTGCCCACATGGGATCCCGACGGTTGCAAGGCACCATCAGGCCGGGTCCCTTCCAGAACATCTTAAACTGCAAGACTTAAAAGAACGGCTAAGCGCAGTAAAGGCGGAGCATGGCATGATGTAGAGGAGGCAGAGCAGGTGGGGGCATGGCCACCCACAGAGTGCGGCTGCTCTCAGCTCAGCAAGGCTGCTACTTCTTCACTGTCACCTGTACCTGGGGATGCACTGCACTTGTGGCAACTCATTTCAGCCAAGCAGTCCCATCTAAACCCGCACGAAGGGCGGTGGGCGCGAGCCCAAGGGCTCAGACACCATGTCCCACCTCACAGGCCGGGGTTATTCCAGTGTCCTTTAAGACAACTCCTCTCTTCCTGGGGAGTCCTGCACTGTGCTTCAGGCTTCTGTGCACCCATCCTAGCACCCAGGGCGCCAGTGGTCTGGGAGCTCTTTATTTCCAATACACAACCTTGAAACATCTGTATGCAAATGAGTAATAGCTAAAGTACAAGCTAAACTAAACTGCGAAGTAATGTAAAGGAACAAGCCACCCCGGTGGGAGGTGCCACTGGCCTTCAGGGACTAGTGTGGGCCCCTGGTGCGGAAGAACCTCTGTATTCCCAACCGCACCAAGGTCGAAGTTCGGCTGTCATGCCTACCATCGCAAAATACCAACGAGAGAGGCACCATGCTAGGATTACACACAACAGATGATCTCATTCCAAAACCACTTTCTCAACCATTTACATAACTCTCAGAAATCTAAGATATTTTCAAAGTGAGTCCTGCGATACATCCTAATGTAACACACACGCCAAGGTTGACGGAAGCTTGCACCCGCACCAGCCGTTGTCATCAATTCCATTTTCCCAACGTATGCAGGTCCTTCGTATCCCGGAGATTCGGGTTAGCCTCCACGGCTGATGACTGACTCACGCACGGGCGTGAAGGACTTCCCCAAAAGGCGCTATCTAGGGGGGTCCCAGCACGGAGAACGTTCCCCAAGGTCCGCGGGCGCGATGGCCCCGACCAAGGACGCGCGGGGACGCCCTCGCAAGGATGCAGAGCCGGCCGGGCCCGCCCGGCACGTGACGCCGCGCGACCTTGGGGTCACCCCGGCCGCCGCGCCCCACTTCCGTCGCGGGGGACCGCCCAGGCCCCCCCGCCCGGCCTCGCGAGGCCATTGGCCGACGCGCCTGTCCGTCAGACGCGCCCTTCCCACCGCCCCGTCCGCCCGCTCTGTCCGGCTCCTCTCCGGGTCACCGCGGCGTCCAAGGCTCAAAGGTCGCGGGGTCTCACCCGGGCTGCGGCCTCCGACTGCAGCCAGCGGGCGCCGCGGCCCCCGACTCCTGCTCCCAGAGCGCAGCCGCGCGCAGTTACCTGTCTCCGGCGCGGCTCCACCCGAGTGAGGCGCCGACACCCCGCTCCGGGGCACCAAACTCTCGGCCCCGCCCCGACGCCTGACGTCAGCACGTAGCCCTGCCCTGGCGGAGCACCGCCCCCCCGGAGAGGCGTGACGTCACAGAGCCGCGACGGCGGCGGAGGGGCGCGTACAGGACAGCCTGAACCCACCTTCGCGCTTGTGGGGAGAGAGGAGCGGGCGTGCTGAATAAATGGCAGCTGCTTCCTCGGATGCCTCACGCACTTGTAATGGACAACGGGAATTTCTGAAGTGATGGCCGACTGATGTGAAATATATTTTCAATCACGAGACCCGCCTTGTCGGGGCCCTGCTCTCGCGTCAGCCCCCCGCGACTAGCACTGTTCCCGCCCTGTCCGCTGATGGCGGGAGCCCGCCCGGCTTGACCTGGCCTAAGAAGATAAAACGCTGGTTTCCCTATTCCTTACGATTCAGGAAGAAGTTATCTCAAAATTGATGAATTGTGGCGGCTTGGCCGTCGCCGCGCGGCAGGCAGCGGCGTGGCAGGCAGGCTTCCTCCCTCCCCATGTTTTTGCCCCTTCTTGCAGACCAGGAACCCCGCCGTGCCCAGGGGCACCCCGACCCAGAGGCCTTGACTGCTCCGAGGGCGGCACCTTGGCCCGAGGTCCTGGGTGGGCACAGTTGAGGACCCCAGGCCGGCTCCCACACGCGCGCGGCATTGCGCGCAGAGCAGGCCGCCTGCACGCAGTCCTCCACAGCCCTGCCGGGAGTAGACCATCTAAGCCCTCACTCACTCCTACCCTCTGTGCCTCCGGGGACCTGGAAGTAAGTTTGTTAAGGTGGGTAGGTGGACACTAGCCCATGTGTGTAAGAGGGACAGGACAAAATTTAAGAAAGCAAGTTTTGGGTGGAGTGGGACGAGTAAGCAAACTGGCAGTTATACCTGAAGTTGTTGCCCTTGTGTGGGGTTCGACCCCCAACAGCAGAAACACGCACATACACCCCTCCCTGCACCAACGGGATTGTTAGGTCTGGGGCAGGCTCGAGGGAACTACATGCAGAAAGCTCCCCACCCACTGTTTCCCAGAAGAGGAAGAAGTGAGGAAAAACGGGGCTCCACTCCTGTGGGCAATGCTCTAGTCAGTACTGCCGGGGCCTCTGCCCTGTGCATGTCCCCTGCACCGGCAGGCGCCTGCAGCCTGGGCTGTGCCAGCCTGAGAGGTCCCCCTTGGCTACCGGCTGCCCCGTCTCACTGCTTAGTTCCCTGCCTGGTAGTGAGTTTCGCTGCCAGGTGCTGGCACCAAAGGGCCAGCCTTCTCCCACCATGGAGCACTGGTGGGGGCCTGGCTAGTCCTCTGGCAGCAGCACAGCCTCGCCGCCCGCTCCCATCTTGTGCACTTTTCTCTACTTTTTGGGCAGAGGTCAGACATTAGGCTTGCCCGTGTTAAGATACTGTTGGCAGCAATAGAAAAGCAACCCCCGTGCTGTGCTGGCTTTGTGGGTTTTGAGGTTTATGGCCAACGATACTGCTTTTCCTGTTAGTGATATTTTCCTCTGCGTTAAGTGGTTTATTTTAGAAACCTGTGGACGAGGTCTAGCCGATGGCATCCAGTGGGGGCCCTGAAGAAACGTGATTTCTCCAGGATGATGGCGTGCTTGAGGACAAGACCTGTCCTGTGTCCGGCAGCGGGTTGAGGGCCAGCAGAGGAAGATCCAGCCAGCGTTGCTGTGCTTAGCTATAGCCATGCGCTTTGAATCGAGGCCACTGCTCAGCCTGTGCGTCCTTTCACACGTGTGGTTAGACCTAGAGAAATTTTGAAAAGAAATGGCAAAGTGAGAGGTGTGTGTGTGTGTTCAGTAGTGGAGAATATGGGGCCAGCACCTTGGCATAATGTGCTAAGCTTCAGCCCACAGTGGCACCCACATGGGAAACACGGAAAAAGCTCCTGGCTCCTGGCCTTGGGTCGGCTCAGCTCTGACCATTGCCTCCATGTGGGAGTGAACCAGTGGACAGAAGACCTCTCTGTGTGTTTCCTTCTCTCTGAACTCTGCCTTTCAAATAAAAATGAAAAAAATAATAAATGAATTCAAGTGGAGAACACAAGTGCTTGTAAGAAATAGGCAGCTCCTGAGCTGCTGCTTGCCAGCCTGGCCCAGCCCTGGCCACTGCGGCCAGCTGGGGCCATCGCAGCCAGCTAGGGCCATCGCGGCCAGCTGGGGCCAGCTGGGGCCAGCTGGAGCCATCAAAGCCAGCTGGGGCGTGAACCAGCCTTGGAGGATCTCTGTTTCTCCCTCTGTAATTCTAATTTTCAAAATAAGTGAGCAAATCTTTAAAAACAAGAACAAAGTACCAGAGGTGTGCTGAGTGACACGTGTCAGAGGACCACATGTGGCTTGTGGCAGTGGGCGGGCAATGCTCATGGGCCTCTGGCTCTCCTGGCCTGTCTCCCAGTTCGCCACTCTGGAAGTAGGGCGAGGCCATCTGCCCACATGCGTCAGAAGCCGTGGTCTTTTGAGGACTGAAAGTTCAGCTGTAAGGCAGATAAGCCAGGGTCAGAGTCCTGCTCCAATCTGACCCCTGGGAGGGTCGGAGAGGGCTGGTATACAGAAGTGCTGGTGGGCGAGTTCTCCCTGCAGGGATCTGAGTCAGGCATATGAAGCACTGGGGTACCCTGAGTGTCAGATCAGAAACTTGAAGAGTTCACACTCTTTGGTATAAGAAGCCTATGGTATAAGAATAAATAGCGGAAGTTTCAGGAAAAGAATGAGGAAATAGAAGAGGTGTTCTGGGTTTGGCAAGTCCAGTGGAAACCCAGCATGGGGACACTCCAGCTGGATGGATACTCCTGCCAGCCACCAGGAGGCATATGACCTTGATGTTGCTCATTTCCTAGGAGTTGCCTTTATTTAATGCCTCATTGGTTTTTGTTTTAGATGACTCGCAATGTTTGTACAGTGCATGGGCACAGTGTGACCTGGAGGAATCAGCTCATTAGTGTGTCTTTCCTGGCCTTTCCGTTTGGAGCCTGAGGACTGCTCTCACCTGCTCCTCCACAGTGGCTGCCCTGCGTAGTGGAGCACCAGGATTTGCTGTTTCTCCATGGGTTCCTCCTTTTGACCAATCTCCCTCCTCCCCATTATGCTTGGTCAGTTGGTCTTTTTTTTTTTTTTTTTTTTTAAGAGAGATAGAGATCTTCCATCTGCTAGTTTACTCCCCAAATGAACACAACAGCTAGACCTGTGCTGATCTGAAGGTGTAAGCCAGGAGCTTCTTCTGGGTCTTCTGCGTGAGTGTAGGATCCCAAGGACTTGGGCCATCCTCTACTGCTTTCCCAGACCGCAAGCAGTGAGCTGGATGGGAAGTGGAGCAGCCATGACACAACCAGTGCCCGTATAGGATGCCAGCACTGCAGGCAGAGGATTGGCTTACAGAACCGCGACACTGCCCCCCACCCTGTACCCCACTCCATTTTTTTTTAAAAGATTTATTTTTATTATTTTTTTTATTGGAAAGGCGGATATACAGAGAGGAGGAAAGAGAAGAAGATCTTCTGTCCGATGATTTACTCCCCAAGTGAGCGCAACGGCCGATACTATGCCGATCTGAAGCCAGGAGCCTCTTCCGGGTCTCCCACGTGGGTGCAGGGTCCCAAAGCTCTGAGCTGTCCTCGACTGCTTTCCCGGGCCACAAGCAGGGAGCTGGATGGGAAGCGGGGCTGCCAGGATTAGAACCGGCGCCCATATGGGATCCTGGGCGTGCAAGGTGAGGACCTTAACCACTGCGCCACCGCGCCGGGCCCATCCACTCCATTTTTTGATGGTACACTTGTCAGATCTGTTTAAGCATCCATTGCCAAATCCACAGTCATGGAAATTTATCACTATGTTTATTCTAAATGTTGTGTGGTTTTTAACTGACCTTGTTTATCATTTTTAGTTAGGTGTGTTTGAGGTACAGTAGAAGTCCAGCTTTGCTGCAGGCAGGAGCTAAGAGCCTTGAGAAGAACCTGCTAGGGCGTTCTGCATTCAAGACAGCGGTTGGCAAGAAGCTGAAACCCTCAGGGGCAAGTATCACCGAGTGAGACAGAGGGACATCTTCCATTTCCTGATCCACTCCCCAAATGGCCGCCTCAGCCCGAGCTGAGCCAGCCTGAAGCCAGGAGCCATCAGGAGCTTCTTCCAAATCTTCCTTGTGGGTGTAGGGTTAAGGACTTGAGCCATCCTCTGCTGTGTCGAGTTGTGCATCTCTCTGGATAGAAACCCTCTGGCCACCCGCTTTCAAAATCCATCTCAGCTCTCCTAGTTGCGCACTGCCCTCTCCTGGCTCCTGCTGTCAGTTTCAAGTTGCAGCCAGTTTGCTTGAAACCCCAGATATTTTGATAGTGTTGGTGGGAAAGATCATCCTCTCCCTGTTGAATGAACTTGGCACCTGCACTCAGCAGCTTCTTGTTGCTCTGACACACAAGAGAGGCTTCCTTAAGCCACCCTATAGTTGGAAGTTCACGAGGCTGGGGAGCTTTGTCAGCTTGGCCTGTGGGGCAGCTGGCATTAGAGGAGCAGAGGCGAGGGAGCCATGCCGAGGTGAGCCATGAAACTGAGACACAGGACGCAAGCCTGCTGCTGGGACCAGCACTCTCAACACCTGCCTTCCCAGAGCCAGCCCCCTGGCCTCACGGCCGCCCACACACCCACCCACCAAAGCCATAACTAGATCTCGTTTCCGTCATCAGCCACTGCTCATCAAGAATGCAGTCTTCATGGCCACGTGAGTTTTGGGGATCAAGTCCTGTTGAACCCGGCAGCTTCTGCCGAGGTTGAGTTTATGTATAAACTCTCAATTCTAATTCGTGGGTTTGTATGTCCATCATTATGCCAATACTAAGCTGAGTTGACCACTATTGCATTATAGTAAATTCTGAAATTGGAAACTGTTAGATCACCAACTTTTTTTTTTCCTTTGTCAAGATTGTTTTTGGTGGTGCTGGTACCTGACATGCTGACATCCAATTTGGGCATCAGTGGGAGTCCCAGCTGCTCCACTTCTGATCCAGCTCCCTGCTAAAGTTTCTGGGAAAGGAACAGAGATAGCCTAAGTACTTGTGGAACAGAGATGGCCTAAGCCATGTGGAAGACTTGGATGAGGTGCCTGGTTCCTGGCTTTGGCCTGGCCCAGCCTTGGCTGTTGTGGCCATTTGAGGAGTAAACCAGTAGATGGAGGATCTCTCCCCTGTACTCTGTAACTCTGCCTTTCTTTTTTTTTTTTTTTTAAGATTGATTTATTTATTTATTACAAAGTCAGATATGCAGAAAGGAGGAGAGACAGAGAGGAAGATCTTCCGTCCAATGATTCACTCCCCAAGTGAGTGCAACGGCGCCAATCTGAAGTCAGGGACCAGGAACCTCCTCCAGGTCTCCCACACAGGTGCAGGGTCCCAAGGCTTTTGGGCTGTCCTTGACTGCTTTCCCAGGCCACAAGCAGGGAGCTGGATGGAAGGGGAACTGGGTGTGAAGTGGACCTGCTGGGATTAGTACCAGCGCCCATATGGGATCCCAGGCGTGCAAGGCAAGGACCTTAACCACTGCGCCATCGCACCGGGCCCTTCCCAGGCACCTTGTCAGGGAGCTTGATTGGAAGTGGAGCAGCTTGGTCTTGAACAGCACCCATAAGGGTTTCAGGCATTGCAGGTGGTAGCTCTACTCACTGAGTCACAATGCCAGCCTCAAAATAAATCATTAAAAAATTGTTTTGAGCTATTCAACGTCCTGGAGACTTCATATGAATTTAAAGAGTAGTTTTTTTATTTTTGCAAAAGTGCTTGTTGGAAGTCAAGGGGCAGCCCGAGATGGAGTGGGCACACGTGGTGGCCAGCAAATGACCGGCCTGCCCTGCAGGGCCACCCTTGCTGCCACAGGACAAATCCCGTATGGCATGGTGTAATCCTCCCAATAGACTGTCACGTTTCACTTCTGCTTTGTTGAGGATTTTTCTTAAAAAAAAAAACAAAAAAAAAAAAACCTGGCTTTTTGTAGGAAGCCACACAGTTGGGACAGATGGCACAAGGTGTAATGAGTGCTTCTCCCCAGCACGGCCAGGAGTTGCTCTGGCTGCCTAGCACGGCCGGGCAGGATGTCTCTAATCACCTCATTGCTGCCTCACCCCATTGTATGGGCAGTCCATCACCTCTCTGCTAGTTCATGGAATTACTGGTATGACACCTGAAACTGATTATTTTCAATCATGTTATGGGAAAAGGGTCGTTGGCAACTTAAGACAATGACACACAGTTAGAAGCATGCAATAGTACAATTGAGTGCACATTGTTCCCAAACCTCTTATTATGTGCCCACCTTTGTCCTGGAACTTACCCTAAAATGCATGATGTCCTCCTTAAGAAATGGCTTGGCAACAGTTGACAATAATGGAAGCACAAGTAGTTTTTTTTACTGCGCAGCTTCGAACTGCTGCATTACACGGAATGACGCATTTTGGCTTCCCACCACAAAAAGCAGAAAGTATACGGGGCATCTTCTAAAGGCAGACAAATGCTGTGAGCCCCTAGAGGAAAATGGTTTGAAACTTATACCTTATATTGCCACTTATATTTAGGGAAAGGAAATAGTTGAAAAAGATAAGTTTCTTGTGAAGGTCTTCCATTCAGAGAAAGGCTGAACTGCCCTGATCCTGCCCACTGTCCTTCAACAAAACAAAAACAACTGAATCAGTACTAGGTGAGGTAACCAGTGATTGATTGTGAGATTTAATAAAGAATCTATGACATATGCCTTTATAATCTCTTCATTTATAAGCTTCCTTTTGAATTTTATATTCTTGATATTATTATTAGTTTAGGTTTAGTGAAAATTGACTTTGGATGTAAGTAAACCACCTGTCACTATGTAACCGCATGTACTGCCAACCGTGGAGCTCCTGGCTTCAGCCGGGTGTCTGCAGGTCTGCAAGAGTAATGGCTTGCTGAGAATGTTTTCTTTGAAGTGAAATAATTTTTTTAGGATTGTTTTTGTATTCTTTTAACCATGAAGTAAAAGTGAAACAACTGGATGTTGTGCAAAGGCTTGTGATGACTTCTGCATAAATAAAGAAGGCAACTTTTCTGAGTTGTCCATTATGAGCATCATGCTCTAGTGGTCCACGTGTCTTGTCTGCCTTCTCGCCGATCCGCACATCCTCCTCGAGCTCTGAAGTCAGCTGAGCTGGTCTCTGGCAATTTTTTATTGGAAAGGCAGATTTTACACAGAGAATGAGAGACAAAGATCTTCCATCTACTGCTTCACTCACCAAATGGCTGCAATGGCCAGAGCTGAGCAATTTGAAACTAGGAACCAGGAGCTTCTCCTGAGTTTCCCATATTGCTGCAAGGTCCCAAGGTTTGGGCCGTCCTCAACTGTTTTCCCAGGCCACAGCAGGGAGCTTGGTTGGAACTGGAGCAGTCAGGACACGACTGGGCACCCATATGGGATCCTGTCACTTGCAGACCCAGAAGAAGCTCCTGGCTTTAGATCAGCTCAGTCCTGGCCATAGCTGCTCTCTGGGGAGTGAACCAGTGAATGGAAGATCTTTCTCTGTTTCTCCTTCTCTCTGTAAATTGCCTTTACAATAGAAAATATATATATATATTTTAAACAAATCCATGTGACCTGCCCCCTACACTGCATCTTCTAGGAGAGGCTTCTCTGAGCAGTCAAAAATCGTAGCCACTGCACCTTCAGCCACACACTCCCCACAGTTGTTTCCCATGGCAACTGGAGCGAATGACCACAAATGTACTAGATCGACAGATATAGTAGCCTGCTTTCCCAGGCCACAAACAAGGAGCTGGATGGGAAGTGCAGCTCCCTGGACTAGAACCGGTGTCCCTATGGGATCCTGGTGCATTTAAGGCGAGGACCTTAACCGTTACGCTTTCGCGTCGGGGCCCCTCTCAATTGACTTTTACAAGCTTCCCTGCCCAGCTGGCGCCCAGCACTTCCCTCTCCACTGAGGCTCACCGTCTGAAGGACACACATATGTAAAGGACACGTGGTAATACAGATGACACCTGGGACTGCCAAGTGGAGAATGAGTGGAGCCAGGAGAGCCGGGCAGTCCTCAGAAGGGAGGGTGAAAAACCCTCTGCCAGCTCCTGGATTCCTTCCCTGTCCGCACGTGCTCCCACCCCAGGCCCTGAGGCCCAGCAGGCAGACGCTGCCTGTCCACACACACACTGCTGACAGCTCTTCTAGCTCCATAAGACCTTCCCCAGATCCGCGATCAAGGAGGCAGATTTGGGTTCTGATGCCCGTTCCCTTGCTGGCTGGCACACATACTGATTCTCCCAGAGGAGAGCGGAGCGGAGTCACGGTGCAGCTTCCCACGCGCAACCGGGGAGTCTGGGGAGCGCGCAGGCGCGGAGCGAAGCCGACCCCCGCTTCGCCGCGCGGTGTCGCTAAGGCGACGCGCACGCGCATAGAGGTGTGCAGTGCGCGCAGGCGTACGGGGCGAGGCTCCATGGCAGGTGTTGGCGTCTGGCGGCTGCCGGGGATGGCCCCTCCGGCGCTTCTGCTGCTCGCGCTGTGCGCCGTGGGCGCTCGGGGGCTCTACTTCCATATCGGCGAGACCGAGAAGCGCTGCTTCATCGAGGAGATCCCCGACGAGACCATGGTCATCGGTCAGCCGGGGCGAGGGGGTGGAGAGGCTCTTTGTCCCGGCGCCCGGAGGCGCCCCCTCTTTCCGATCCCGGTGGGGTCGTTGCCCTCCTACCCTGGCCCCGGCCGAGGATAACCCCGAGGACACCAGGCCGCCGCGCAGCGTCCTGGGCCGGCTGTGACTGTGTGTCTACTCTGCAGGCAACTATCGCACCCAGATGTGGGACAAGCAGAAGGAGGTCTTCTTGCCCTCGACCCCTGGCCTCGGCATGCACGTGGAGGTGAAGGACCCCGACGGGAAGGTAAGGCTGGCGGTGCGAGGCGCTGCCGGTGGCCGGGGGCCGTTTGCAGAGGTCACAGCCAAGCTGGGCCCTGGTGCGTGTTGCAGGTGGTGCTGTCCCGGCAGTACGGCTCCGAGGGCCGCTTCACCTTCACCTCCCACACGCCTGGGGACCATCAGATCTGCCTGCACTCCAACTCCACCAGGATGCCCTTCTTCGCCGGCGGCAAGCTGGTGAGACTGCCCTTGCCGCTCCGCGGGGACTCGCAGGCGTAGCCAAGCATGGTTTAGCCCTCTTGGTTTGTGACTGTGGGTGTCGGGGAGGCTGGCGTGGGTGGGCTGAGGGTGCCGCCCCTCGCACATCTCGCGTTCCCTTGCAGCGCGTGCACCTGGACATCCAGGTTGGGGAGCATGCCAACAATTACCCTGAGATCGCTGCCAAGGACAAGCTGACGGAGCTGCAGCTGCGGGCCCGCCAGCTGCTGGATCAGGTGGAGCAGATCCAGAAGGAGCAGGACTACCAGAGGGTGAGGGCCTGAGTGTGGGGACCCCTGCAGCGCCTGCCGCTCTGTGTGGGGGGCAGGAAGCTCAGAGAACAGGGAGGCTCTGAGTGCTTGGGTCTGAGGTGTTAGCTACATTCACAATATTGGGTGCCCTCATACGACCTCCACCCCTATGCAGAACCCCGTTTCTGGCACACAGTGCACAGGGTTCTGGGGCTCAGCCAGCTTATGTCACTTGGCTTTAGTCTCAGTCTGTGCAGATGTAGAGCCTCCTTTAGCTAAGGCAGTTGGTGGTGGTTTCTGGAAAGGCAGAGATGCAGGCCTCTCCCACAATAGCCAGAGCTGAGCCAGGCCCAGGCAGGAGCCGGAAGCCCTGTCCAGTCTCCCACGTGGGGACAGGGACCTGCTGCACACCAGCTTCCAGCCGAAAAGCAGAGCGAGGGCATGAGCCTAGCAGGTGGCTGTCTTTAGTGGCGTGCTCCCGGACCCTTGCGTGATCACTTTCAAGTTCTGTGCAACAGTGAAGAATGGCAGGCTCACAGGCTAGTGAGAGTGTGCTGGTTTTCCCTGGGCTCTTGTGTGACAAGAAAAGGGTTGTGATCTCGGACCTAGCCAGGTGCGGGTGGGCTGTCAGTGCTGAGCCTGGCACTCCCAGTGGCATCAAGTGAGGCAGTGGATGCTGGAGCCAAGGGGCCAGGGCCAGGGAGGACCTCCAGCAACCTGGTCCGTGTAACCGCACTCGCCTCCTTGCCTGCGCAGTACCGGGAAGAGCGCTTCCGCCTGACCAGCGAGAGCACCAACCAGAGGGTCCTGTGGTGGTCCATTGCACAGACCGTCATCCTCATCCTCACTGGCATCTGGCAGATGCGGCACCTCAAGAGCTTCTTCGAGGCCAAGAAGCTGGTGTAGCGCCCGCTCTGTCGGCTTTCAGCTCCTCACCCACCTGCCTTTTGAGAGGGACAAGAAAGAAAGAGGATGTAAGTCGCATTGGTCCATGGCAACAGGACCTTCAGAGCAGCCATGCTAACCCTGGTTGTCAAGGACACAGGACCCTGGGCCAAGCTTTCAGAGATCTTCTAGGCCTGTGAGGCAACAGAGCTAACTCAGAGATTACCCCATCCTCTCACAAAATGAGCAAATGAAAAAAATCTCTCCTTTTCATTCTGCTGTGTCTCCGTCTGCTGGCACGGTGGGAGCCCGGTGTGCCCCCGGGAGGGGGCCTTACCCTCCTGCCTCCTGCTCAGCCCTGGGTCTCCTCTGTGGCTTTGTGAATGTAAATAAGGGGCAGGTCTTGGCCCCAGAGGACTGACATGTTTTTCTATATCCTAGAACTATTTTTTGATAAATTATATATTTTCCTTCCTAGATGAGAGTTACTGCCTATTCCTAGCCAGCAACACCAGTGCAGTCCCCGTGTGTTCTGTTGATTCACACATTTCTGGTAACTTCCCTCACAGCTCTTGGGAGCTTTTGGCAGTCCCTCAGCCAGAAAGCTGATGTTCAGCCATTCTCGAGCCGAGTTGTATGTGACACCTGTGGTCCCCACCTCGCAGGACCACAGAGCCAGAGGCATTAGCACAGGGCAACACACTCTCACCTTCCCTCTTCCCCTGTTATTTAAGGTGTGACAAATATTTTCTTCAAGGGAACCAGATTTGGTTCTTTATAGAAAATTTTCCAGCGAAATAAAATGTGTTGTAGTAGCTGTGTTGGAGATGAAATATGAGGCTGTGGGGCAGAGGGGAGGCAAAAAGGGAAAGAAAAAGTTCCTGGCTCGGGTCTGCACTGCAGGTGACCCCGAGTGGACTGGGTGTGGGTAGCTGGTGCTGGGGCTTGGGCTGGACACAAGCCAATCTCCACAGGGGAACTGGATGGATGGGCTCATGTCCTCCTGAGGGTTAGGCAGGGACACATCAGCAAGGGTTCTGGACAGAGCAAGGGCCGGGTCCTCTGGCCTGAAGCGCAGAGGCCAGCCCATCCTGGGCGTGACAAGCCTAGCTGCTGCCCCTCCCGACATTCCATTTCATAGTGTTAGATACTTCCAATACTACATGTATCTGACCTCAGAACTAAATTATCTTTATTTCTTAGTCATACTATCATATGTATACACATATAAATGATACTTCTTTTTTTTTTTTTTTACTGTCAAGGATACATACAGTTTAATTCTCTAGGTGTTCTCATTTAACATCTTTGTATTGTGTAACTTCTGCTTATTTCCTCTTTCCCATTCTGGAGAGCCATGACAGTTCCATGAGGTGTGTACCACCATAGTTCAGAGTTCCCACTCTCTCCAGGTGAGGATGAGCAGGAAATGGGATGGCCTCTGGACCAGTTTGATGTGGGAACTGTGACTCGTGAGGAAGGGACACAGTTATGCTCCACGGCTGTTCCTAGAAGTCTGGCCACAGCGCAGGGGCAGACCACCGCAGGCTGCACAGACACAGGAGCCTGCCCTGCGGGCCAGGGCTGGACGCGAGCCGTGCTGGTGGGTCAGCACATCCCCCCTGCTGACTGGGTAGGGAAGTTGAGTGCACCTTTACCCTGAAGGAGGTGTCCAGGCCAGCAGCTGGTGGCTGTGGGAACCAGGCCTTCCTCATTGGTGTCACATCTACAGATACACCGGATTAGGTTTCTAAGTAGCAGTTAAGCTACATCCAAGAATTGGGTGTAGCCTTGGTTGCATTTGGAAGGGCTTTGCCTTTAGCATCTGCTTTGTGCTCCTGACTCCCCAGCTCTCCCTGGGCCTGACTGGCTGAGGGGCAGGATGGCCTGTGGGGCCTATGGAGGCTGTCCCCCTCCTCAGTGCTAGGGAACATGGCAAACTAAAGGACATCCAAAAGGTCTACTTGCAGTTCCACAGAGAAGAGAGACTCATCTTCCATCTGGTGGCTTGCTCCCCAAATGGCTGTAACTGCTCCGGTTTAGGTCAGGCTGGAGCCAGCTACCCACTTAGACCCAGCAGCACTAGCAGGGACTTGGGTCAGAAATGAAGCACTTGAACCAGGTGGTGCTCACAGGCTGTGGCATATCTTGCAGTGCCACAGGGCTGGCTCCCAACTGGATTTATAAAATATGTTCTCCTGGGTGCCCTGGGTGTGCCTGATGGTGGGGTGCCCGCTGCACCGGGCCCCTACCTTCATCTAACAACCCAGCAAGGGAGGGGCTAGTCCTCACAAGGCACCTGTCTACTGCTCTGGAGTCCCTGCCCCCACGGGAGGAGCTTCGTGCTGCTGTCACCCCATCTCTGGACCTGCGAAGCCGGAACGGTCACCCCGACTTCAGACCCTGTCCCGACCTCTCCGAGTAGCGAGGGGGCGGATCTAGGCACCTGCGCCTTTCCCCTCCCCAGCACCCGCAGTCGGCGACCCGCGCCGCCCCGCTCCCAGTGGCCCGAGCCCTGACATCCTCAGCCCGGCAGAGTGGGGAAGCACAACTAAGTTCCGTCCCCAAGCCCTCCTCCCCCGGGCCTTTCTGACACCGGCCGTTGGTGCGCGCAGCCGTGTTCCCTGCCGGATCGTTAGAAGTCTAGGCTCCGCCACTTCCGGGAAGTGACGCTCTCCTGGCTCTGATTGGTTGTCACCGTCGGCCCTCTCTTCCTGCCGCACGAGTGCGGCGTGGATTCCTGCATCGCCATGGAGGAGTCGGACGCGCTGGGTTTCGAACACATGGGTCTGGACCCCCGGCTGCTGCAGGTACCGGGGCAGGGGCGCTGAGAGCCGCTGGGGACAGCGTCCCGGTCCCGGGGGGCGTGCCGCCCTAGTCGTACGCCTCGTGTCTCGTAGGCAGTCACAGACCTGGGCTGGTCGCGACCTACGCTGATCCAGGAGAAGGCCATTCCGCTGGCGCTGGAGGGGAAGGACCTGCTGGCCCGGGCCCGCACGGGCTCGGGGAAGACCGCCGCCTACGCGTTGCCGATGCTGCAGCTTCTGCTCGACCGGAAGGCGGTGGGCACCGGGGACGGTCGGGTGGGCGGGTCGGGGAGCCTCGCGTGGGTGTGGCTGACGCGTGGGCTGCTTCAGGTGGGCACAGCAGCGTTGAGCTCCTGCTAGAGCCTTCAGCTCATGTGCTCCATAGACAGGTCCAGTGGCGGAGCAAGCCGTGAGAGGCTTGGTCCTTGTCCCCACCAAGGAGCTGGCACGGCAAGCCCAGACCATGATTCAACAGCTGGCTAAATACTGTGCTCGGGATGTACGGGTGGCCAACGTGTCAGCTGCTGAAGACTCGGCAGCCCAGAGGTGGGTGAGGGTGAGGGAAGTAAAGGGCAGTGGGCAGAAGAGATGTGGGTGGGCGTGCGCAGTTGGGTAGAGGGGTGGGTTGGGGCGGCCCTGACTGCTCTGCTCTCTGTGGTTCTGATGCCCTGCTGGCCACAGAGCCGTGCTGATGGAGAAGCCGGATGTGGTGGTGGGGACCCCGTCGCGGATCCTGGGCCACTTGCAGCAGGAGACCTTGAGGCTGCGGGACTCCCTGGAGCTGCTGGTGGTGGATGAGGCTGACCTGCTCTTCTCCTTCGGCTTTGAGGAGGAGCTCAAGAGCCTGCTGTGGTGAGGGAAGGGTCCGGGGGAGTGGGGTCTTGGCTCCGCAGTGGGAGTGGGGTGGGCAGCCATCCAGCTGCACTGCCTGTGTCCCTGACCCAGCTCTGATTGGTTTCAGTCACTTGCCCCGCATTTACCAGGCCTTCCTCATGTCGGCCACTTTGAACGAGGACGTGCAGGCGCTCAAGGAGCTGGTCCTACATAACCCGGTGAGGGGAGCTGCTCCTCTGAGGAGGAGGGTTGGGGACCCTGTCACTGAGTGCCTGCACTTGATCCGGCATGTGTCACATCCGTCATTCCAGCTGGTCCCAGTGCTGTCACCTGGTTAAAGTCAGGGTTCATTTGAGACATGGGCAACAGCTCTGTGGGCCGCTGTGGGGGGACAGAATGGCAGTCCTAGCCCAGGATTCTCATCCCCCCCCACCTGCTGCATGGCGTGGTTGCTCCTGGACGTGGTCTGCCCCATGCCCCTGTGTTCTGTGTATGGTGGTGTGTCCCCTGCGTACTGGAACAGGGAGGGAGGCCTTAGGTGCCAGGAGTCCTGTGCTGCAGTGTCAGTGCTGTGGCCAGCAAGCCCATGGCCACAGTCTCTGTCTCTCTCCTGACCACAGGCCTGTCCTCCCTCCAGGTCACACTCAAGTTGCAAGAGTCTCAGCTGCCAGGGCCTGAACAGTTGCAGCAGTTCCAGGTGGTCTGTGAGACAGAGGAGGACAAGTTCCTGCTACTGTACGCCCTGCTTAAGCTGTCCTTGGTCCGGGGCAAGGCCCTGCTCTTCGTCAACACCCTGGAGCGGAGCTACCGCCTGCGCCTCTTCCTCGAGCAGTTCAGCATCCCCTCCTGCGTGCTCAATGGCGAGCTCCCGCTGCGCTCCAGGTGCACTTCTTTCTGGGGGCCCTTTTGGCTTCAGGGTCCCAGGGCACAGGCTGAAGAGGAGGGGATGCACTAGCCCAGTGCTGTGCCTGTTCCAAAAGCACTGGTGATGGCCAGGTTCTGGGCTTGTCAGGCACCGTGACATACCCATCACTTCACATCTCTGTGAAGATGACGAAGGCAGAGAGTTGAGACAAAAAAGCAAAGGCGATGGGGTGCGAGGTTCTCTGTGGGCTCTGCGGAGCTGACTGCCTGCCCTCCCCTCACCCAGGTGCCACATCATCTCCCAGTTCAACCAGGGCTTCTATGACTGTGTCATCGCCACTGATGCCCAGGTCCTGGGGCCTCCGGCCAAGGGCAAGCAGCGGGGCCGAGGGACCAAAGGGGACAAGTAAGTTCATATTTCTCTCTTCAGCCCTTCCCAGAGAGGTCCACTTTCTCTGCTGTCTGCAAGACACACCAGGATGCCTAGAGCAGGGAGCCAAGTGCTGAAGGCCTGGTTAGGCAGGTGACACAGAGAGCCCCTTGCGTGCTAGCTCAGTTGCCTGGGTGCAAAGGGGAATGGAGCACCCTCCATGGGCAGTGTGCTGGGAAGCTTGCAGCAGGCCTAAGGCTGGCACAGGGCAGCATGTTCTTAAGCTGAAACGGGAAGGTCCAGGGCCTGGTTCTTAGAGTGGGCGACAGCCGTGAGTCCTGTTCCACCCAAGCTGATGTGTCCAGATGAGGCCACAAGGCCCTGCCTGGGACAGCACTGATGTCCAGGTGAAGCCGCGAGGACCTGCCTGGGGGGATGCCAGAGACTGTAATCCCTGTTGGTGCTCTTGATCTTGAGGTTTTATTTAGTGATGCAGCCTGGGCTATTGTGCTTAGCACAGACAGAGGGTGAACTGACATGGCTGCCTCCTCCCTGCAGGGCCTCTGACCCGGAGGCGGGCGTGGCCCGGGGCATAGACTTCCACCATGTGTCTGCTGTGCTCAACTTTGATCTCCCCCCGACTCCTGAGGCCTATGTTCATCGAGCTGGCAGGTAAGTGAGCTGGGAGCATGGGGGAAGGCCCCAGTAGGGTGTCCCTGGCCCAGCCTGCAGGCTGGAGATACAGGAGTGGCCATGTGCCCTTATAGGACAGCACGCGCCAACAATCCTGGCATCGTCTTGACCTTCGTGCTGCCCACTGAGCAATCCCACTTGGGCAAGATTGAGGAGCTTCTGAGTGGAGGTAAGAGCTCCGGTTCTGATGGTGCCCTGACAACCATGTCATGGCAGCCACAATACCAGCATAGTGACAAGCAGCT